AGTATCCCTTTGGCCTGGGGGAAGCAGCAGTGCTACAGGAGGCAGAAAAAGACGAGAACTTCTGGTCTTGTTTCTCCACCATACAGGTATTGGTAATTGCACGTTTTGTGGTTTCTGCTGCTGAGTTCAGCCTTACTAAGGGTTACGCCAAGCGTTATTTACTGCAGTTTTGGCTGATGTTGAGTGAGAACTTGGATTAATGAAATTAAGCTTTGATGTCTAAGGTGCCAAGGGATTGCTGTTGGATTTCCTTGGCAGTAAGGCAGCATGAGCATATTTCACTTATATAGATAGTACAGGATTGTAGAAGCTCATTATATGAACTGTGTTGTTAATTGCCTGACGGCCCACAGTCACTTTATTGCACTTCAAAATCTGGTCTTTAGATGTAATTGCACAAAGTGCGAAGTAACACTTGTTTGTCTTAATGGATATGCTGGTAGTGCTTAAGGAGTGAAATTTTGTCAGTACTGTAGAATTAAAGTTTTGAAACTTCAGATTTCACAGTGCCCAATTTTGCAACTTTTATTGTTCTCTTCCAATTTTTAATTGAGTTCTGACAAACAATAGAAGAGCAGTAGTTGAGTGGAAAGAGATGATGTCACTTTAAAAAAAAAAAAAAAAATTCCGCATAGAAGCGTTCATCTGAAATATAGAGATCCTGGATTTCAGACTCGCTGTGACAGTGCTTAGAAAGCAGCTGAGCAGTTCTCAAGTGACAGTGGTTATTCAGCACCTGCTGGATAAGTGTCTGTGTGTCATAGAAAAAGCCATTCTTTAACAGCTTCTCATGATGATTTGGAGATAGCTTAGGGAAACTAACATGGTGGAGCAAGATGCTTCAAATGTGTATGCAGTCAACTTTTTTTTTAAGACTATCTAAAATAGTAAACCCCAACTACCAGTCTAAAAAAAAAAAAAAAAAACAACTTTATTTTGAGTTGGAGGAGGTGAAACATACCTCAGCGCTCTTATGAGAGTTGTGTTTATTATGGCTTATTTGGCACCAGCTACTAGCTGTTCATGCCCGGTGGAAGGGCAACCCCTGCTCCAGCATGCTCACTGTCACAATTTTCATAGTGTCGATGTTGACTTTTCAGCAGCTGCCTTTATAAAAGATTAGAGTGGTGGTGGTGGGTACCTTCCAAAAGTGTATGGACTGTTATTTAGTTGGAAATTGTTTGTAATTTGTATTTGCTTAGTACACTAATGTACACGACCTCTCTTTTTTTTTGGCAGTGAGGAATCCCTACACAGGCCACAAGTACCTTTGTGGAGCCCTACAGTCTAGCATTGTTTTGTTAGAATGGGTTGAACCAATGCAAAAATTTATGTTAATCAAGGTAATATTATGATAAGGTGAAATACTTTCATGTTCAGTTTTGTTTATCTTGTAATGACTTGTTAAGAAATAAGTATTAGCCGTTTCTTGAGTTATTAGACTTTTCTCTTGGTTTCTGTTAAGTTATATAAAAAATAGTTAATACATATTACACATTTAAATAGCCGACTCAAAATATTTATAGGAATGTTCTTGGTTTTGTGGTACTTCAGTAAAGAGCAAAGCCTTTTTCTCTGTGAACGTTGCCTTTTAGTTGCACAGTAAAAAACCTCTGGCTGACACTGAGACATGGCAGAGGGGAGTGATAATGTGGGTTATCAGCAGGCTTTGTTCCCATACCAGAGAGAAGGTAGCCACTTACTCTATGCTTTGTGACACTGTATGTGTCCAGAAATGCTTGTTATCTCCCCATCTGACACCATCTGAAGAGATGGAGCCAGGGTGGACTCAATGTTTGTAGAGAGGCAGCTGCTATAACTTGATCAGCCTGGGAAACAAGGCTTAGAGGCTCCATAGCCAGGGAGAGCAATGATGGATACAGCACTCTTGTCATCTGTGGCAGCTGCACAGGACACACGTGATTAAAATACATCCTATCTTATTTTAACTGAGTGGGCATGAAGACTCTCTAAGCTTCTTAATGCAGGCTTTTTGTATTTATCAGTTACTGTTATCTGAAGAAGTAAACTTAATGTTAAAAAAATGTTTGGCATAAAATTTACCAGTTAGCTAATAAGTAGCTAATAGCAACTGAGACTAAACTTGTTTCCCTTCTAATATCTAGTTTTGTTTCTTAATCTAGCACATAGATTTTCCTGTACCTTGTCCGCTGAGATTGTTTGAAATGCTGGTAGTCCCTGAGCAAGAATTTCCTTTAGTTTGTGTCGGCGTCAGTAGAGGAAGAGACTTCAACCAAGTGGTGAAGTTTGAGACTGTCAACCCAAATTCTACCTCTTCATGGTTTACAGAAACAGGTTTGTGTGCTGTTGTAATTGCATTCAGAAACATTCCTTGCTCGTCTGTTATAGCTGAAGCACTAGAAAGGTAGTTTCCTCTGATGAAATTAATGGCTAAATTATTCAGGCTAAGTAATCATTTTAAGTTCTCCAGTTAAAGGGGTATCTGGTTGTACCTGCTTGCACGTGCACTTTTTTTGATGTTTCTACTTGTGGAACTGATTAGATTTCTTGAGATTTTAAGTATTGCAGGGGATGGAGTTGTGGTTTCTTGAATTTCCATAAATCAGGCTGTTACTTAACTGTTACCCACTGTGTTGTTCAGTGCTCTTACCCTGGCACCATGTCTTCTGTTTATTTAATAGATTTTAATAGAATTGTACTCTGAGCAATTTCTTTCAACATCACTGTAGGTGTGGTTTGGCTCTCCTGCAGTAAGCCACTGTGGTTAGAAATTGTGTTATCAGCCTCCTGCTGAGAGAGAGCATATTTCTATTCTTCCACTGTTTATGGAAAGTGGAAGTGATTAGGACCACTGGTAGCAGGAAACCAAGTACCTGTCCATCACTGGGCGCTATGAGTGAGGAGGGCACCATCTGAGCAACAGTAGAAATTCTCTTAAGAAGGAAGCGTGCTAAGAATTACTTTTCTAGTGTTGCAAGACTCCCCCTAAACCTAGATGCAATAGTGAGCTGACCCCAGTCATAGCTTGCAGGTTTAGAAGCAGTAAATAGCTTTGTTATTCCCAGGCATAGAGTCCTTGTTGATCCATGATGTATTTATACTTAGCCTGTGGTGGCATATACATGTGTATGAGTCTGGCTGATTGTGTACTGTGAACTGCTGACTTTCTTGCTGCTGAAAAGTATGTCAGATTTTTGACACAGTTTAAAGCATAGTTACAAAAACTGAAGTGATCAGTGGATGGCCAATTAATGCACGTAACTACTTCAGAGTTAGTGCATTTTATTTTCAAACTCATATATCTATTTATGTAACTGTGTGACCTCAGTAGAGTCCATAAAAGTGGCACGCTGAAGAGAAATTCTTTCACTCATAATGTCCTGTTGTCATTCTTCTCTCAGTATTGTCTGCATCAGTGTGTAAATACAAGAACCAGGAATCCCTTCCTGGTTACTTTTTTTTATGCGGAAAATATAACATTGCATTGTGCCTTCCAAAAATACTTCTTTAGCTTACTTGAATTGCTTGTGTGTTCTTGTGTTGTGTCTATGTTGTTATTTTTTCCTGTTTGTTTGACTCTAATTTAAACCTTCATGTTGTATTGGATTATTCATGTCCCCTGCTGGCAGGAGAGCAATAATGCAATGAAACAGATTTTTCACTGTTTTTTAAATGAGGAAAGCTTATATCATATGATCAGAAATAGCTTCCCTCAAATAGTTTTTATTGTTTGACATTTGACTTTTTTTTAAAATGTCTAATAAAGACGATTTTAAAAAAACAGCTGGCAGAGACTTACGGCAGGGGGTTTCTCCCCTTGCCATCCTTCTCCTGTTAGCTTCAGCCAGTGCAGTACATGTTTCCACATCACATAGTGTGGTTGCACAGATGTGTATCTCCAGTCCTTCTGTTGTATGCTTTCATCATGGCTATATCCACCTTTGGTTAAGATCATAAACGTATACCTTCCAAGACAAACAGCAAAAAAGATATGGAGGGAACATCTCACAGAGCACATTTCTGCATCATCCTTGAGGAGTTTTTTGCTTCTCAACAGGACCATTGATTCTCTTATTTAACTGAAAGCTGCTTTTGTATTTTAGGTAACATGTTCTAACTTCTCATCTCTAACAGATTTAATGAGTTTCTCTTTTCTGTATGAAAGAATGCCTACAGAATCGCTGGCAGTAATGCTGAATTAGTAAGAGCTGCTTTTTGTGTAATTTTAATGTTAACAAACAAATGGACAAAACTACACTTCTCTTTTGAGTTGACGTGTCCACTAATCATTTGTGGGTCAGATGCCCCTGTTTGCTGTGATGGAGACTGCTGCAGCTGTAACCCAGAAGACAGGAAGGTAACCCTTATTCTAAGAGTTTGGAGAAGGAAATAACCCCTATTTTTAGAAGATCTGGGGATGGAAAGTCTGAAAATAGCAGCAAGAATTAAGTACTAATATGAAAGTCCCTAGCAAGATTTAGAAATAAAAGCAGAAGAAAAATGGAATGAAACAGCATTCAGGTTTAGCGTGGACAGTCTTCTATATCTGCCATCTTTTGCAACAGCAATATTAAATAACACCAACAGAGAGTAAAGGGAGAACAATGTACACATGAGTTTGCTTTTGTGACATGGCTCAGAAAAGGCTGGATTAAGTCCATACTTTAATATTACAGCTTCAGTTTTCCTGTCACAGTCAACATGTTGGATAAGTGGACATGCCTCTCTAAGAGAAGAGAAATGTCACTGGTAAGATTATTATTTTAAGTAGATAAAAGCACACTAACCCATTAAGTTGTCTCAATCTCTAGAACTTCCATTTCAAATTTCATGGTAATTTATGTTATGAACTAACTGTCATTTTTTTATAGACACTACAGAGACAAGTGTTGTACATGTAACACAGCTGGAGAGAGATACCATTTTGGTGTGTTTGGATTGTAAGTTTTAGTACCAACTAAATATATACGTATGCATGTACATGCATACTGTCTGTCTTCAAATTAGGTCATATATTGAAGATTAATTGGTTGACCTATCCTATTTATTGTATAGGCTGCATAAAAATAGTGAATCTGCAAGGCAGGTTAAAATCCAGCCGCAAACTGTCATCAGAGCTCACGTTTGACTTCCAGATTGAATCAATAGGTAAGTTGGATTTCATTATTAACATTGAATATCTGGATAGACTATAGAGTTGGGCAATCACCAGCCATATGAAATTTAATACAAATGAGTGAAGAGTGAAAAGGTCTGGAGGGCAAGACTTAAGAGGGGAGTGGCTGAGGTCATTTGATTTGTTCATCTTAAGAAGTCTGAGGGGTGACCTCATTGCAGTCTACAACTTCCTCAAGGGGGCAGGCACATCAGATGGGGAGGTGCTGATCTCCTTTCTGGTGACCACTGGTAGGCCACGTGGAAATGGTATGAAGCTGCATATGGGGAAGTTCGTATTGGACATTAGTACAAGGTTCTTCACTCAAAGGGTGCTTGGTCACTGGAACAGGCTCCCCACAGAAATGGTTCACAGCACCAAGCCTGTCAGAGTTCAAGGAGAGTCTGGACAACACTCTTAGTCATGTGGTTTAGTTTTAGGTGAGGAGCAGGGAATTGGATTTGATGATCCTTATGGGTCTCTTCCAACTCAAAATATTCTATGATTAACTTGTTTACTCTTACAGTACAGAATTAGAGATACTCTCAGGTCTTTGGCATTTGAAACACTTATATCATGCATTTCACTGTGTGAGAAGGCTCAGTGAAAGGTTCAGTGCACTATGTAACGTGCTTCCCTAGGAGCAATTGGAATGGACTAATAACTCTGCAGTCTTGGTAATATGAGGGAGACCTTAAGCTTCTAAAGAATACCTTAACAGTAACTACATAAACTTTGTGTATCACGGCTAACGCATTCTGCATGTGTCTTCACACAGTCCATTTTTATAAAGCAGCTCAAAGACTAAACTATACATCACACACTGTATGTAAAATTTTGTTTTCTTGTGAAGAATCTGAATGAGCTAGATTTGTGAAACAGGAGGACAGAATACATTTATTTTGACAGTTCTCCAGTGGTTACATACCTGGATTGCATCACATGCTTTTGAAAGAGGGACGAGGAAGGACATGTGGACAGCTGGAGGGTAGCACCAGAAGAGGAGGAACAGTGGGAACAAAACCAATAAAAAGTTGGAATTTACTTCTGAGGAAAAGCTTTAAAGTTTCAAGCATTTCAAACATAATGTCCCATGGAGAAGAGGACAAAAAAACGTTGTCATGGAAAACATTACTTTTATGGCTCCTGTTGGTTAGGAATGGGGGGAAAGGAGGAGTTACATGTACTTGAAGTTGCTCACTGTGGGACTTCTGCTTGTACTCTAGTCCTCTCTGCTCATCACAGATGAGCTATCAGTGTCCTGTTCTGGCCTGGTAGTGTCTCCAGAGAGTTCTGCTGCTTTTCCTGCATACCTGTCCAGAGTCAGGATGCTGGATGCAGGTGGGACAGATTCTTCCTGGGGATCTACACACTTGCCCTCTCCTTGAGGGAGGCCCTAGACCCATTTCTTTTCACAGGGTTCAAATGCAGGTGTCTGTCACCATGTTTGTGACAAGGGGGAAGGGCTGGGAAGTAGAGGGCTCTGTAAAGCTTTGCATTGCTATTGCAGGAGGACCATATTAGCCATATGGTTTCTGGAAAAGTGAAAAATGTCACTACAGTATCCCTGTAACTTTTCTGCTAGAGTTCAATATATATTTTCTGCTAGTATTAGAATGAGGAGGGGTTTCGTATTCAAAGGAAAGGACGTGTTTAGGACTAGACAGAAGGACAGTTTTAGAACTTTTTCTGGTTGGGTAGGAATATTTTTAAATCCCACTCATTAAACTTTTGAGGCAGGTTCAGCTATTCCTGTGAGACATTTTGCAGTCTGTCTGGGTGAATATGATACAATAAAACATACATGCACAAATTTCAAAATTGTAGTCATATGCTTTTGGCCTTAAAAGCATGAGCTGAATTTATGCCTCAGAACTGATTCCAATGTTCTTTGTTACCAGTCTGCCTACAAGATAGTGTGTTAGCGTTCTGGAAGCATGGCATGCAAGGAAGGAGTTTTAGATCAAATGAGGTAAGTACTGCATTTTGCTTCAAAATCTAGCTTCTAATATAAGCCAAGTAGAGGATAAATGCATAATGCTGTGGTCTGAAAAAGAATAAAACATTTTGGTAGCTTCCTAGGTTAGGCCTGGAAGCTGGAGTCTTATTCTAAGCATGTTTCACAAGCTACAAACTAATTAGTGAAGCTATAGAAGAGCCCCTGTCAAGTCTAACATACAAAGCAGAAAGCAGCTAGAGCCTGGGCCATGATGCCATAGAAAATATCCAAACCGAATTCTTGGTAACAATCTTCTTCACTTTAAATTGCTTTGAAGACCAGTGTCAGTCCCTTAGCCTTTCAAATGTGGATACCAACATTTGGACTTTGCCAGTGGTGTCATACTCTACTGCAGAGCTTTAGCTTTTTGTCAGTGTTGATTGAGTTGCCTGTTGTTTTTTTAGTCTCTTCCATGTTCCCTTGGCTTATGAGTAATTTGAAGATTTTAGTGCCTGGCTTTCAAAAGAAGTATTTTCCATTCTGTCCTGGTTTTGTCTGGGATAGAGTTAATTTTCTTCCTAGTAGCTGGCATAAGGCTGTGTTTCGGATTTAGTACTAGAAGGATGTTTTAGTAGCGCCTAGAGTAGTCAAGGACTTTTTCAGCTTCCCTTGCTCTGCCAGGTGCACAAGAAACTGGGAGGGGGCACAGCTAGGGCAGCTGACCCCAAACTGGCCAAAGGGCTATTCCAGACCGTATGATGGCATGCTCGGGGGGAGTTGGCCAGGGGGAGAGTGCTCGCTGTTCAAGATGGGCTGGGCATCGGTCAGTGGGTAGTGAGCAATTGCATTGAGCATCACTTGTTTTGTATATTCTGTATATTCTATTATTAATACTACTACTTTTTTCCTCTACTGTTTTATTAAACTGTCTTTGTCTCAACCCATGGGTTTTACCTTTTTTTCCCTGATTCTCTCCTGCATCCGACGGAGGGATGGGGTCTGTGAGCAAGCGGCTGTGTGGTGTTCAGCTGCCTGCTGGGTTAAACCACAACACATTCTCAGGCAAAACACGTCGGAATGACCTAAAAATTTTTTCTAACATGTGTATAGTCCCTTTTTTCTTGGCCAGTTTCATGTGATTTTTAGACATTGTTAAACCATTATAAGTACATTCCCAACTCCATTTTTTTTCTTGCTGCAAACTTTGTGCATCTGTTAGTGGAAATGCTGCGCTTTGTAGGATATTAATGAGTCTTTTAATTTGTTTGTTAAAGAGTGTTTCCAAACTTCAGCAGTTTTTGTCAGTGTAACATTGGCTGAGATTGTTACACATTGTTACACAACTACATTTATTTGCATAAGCCACAGCTGACCTAATCTATGCTGATAGTAAGACTGCTCTTTGTGGGAAGTTGGACCAAAGACTAGAGTCAGACTACTACTTAGTTCCAAGTCTGCAAATGGGTTTTGTGGCATTTGTGCATGTTTGATCTCCAGGCATGATTGTTCTTCTCCCAAGAACTCATAATGGTGAGCTGCAGCACCCTGCTGTTAGCATGGACCATGAGGAGGAGATGATGCCACTAGGCACTTCTCCAGACTCCTGCTAGCAGCATTCTGCAAGGCTCAGTGGATTACTCCACCCATTGGCACTTAGTAGCTCTGATCCAGTTGTTAGAGGACGTGCCCCAGAGTGCTGCAGTGCAAGTGGATGCTTTATATTGTTTATGCAAAGCATAAGAAACATTGTCTTCTTGCTATGTTACTGTCAAGCCCAAGCCGGCACTAAATGAAGAACAGAAGGCAGAACTGAGCTGCTGTCAGAAAGCAAGCCACCCAAAACTTTTTCTCTGTAGAACATGTCTAGGGTAAGCTCTCAGGCCTTTTTAAATTTCCTCTTTCTCCTGACTGTCCTACTAGCCACAGCTACTAAGAATTAAAAAAAAACACCAAACCACCACTCATTTTCAACTGTAATATGAAAAGCCTCCGTTACCATGCTCAGATCTTGAGCATATTGATTACTTTTGGGGAGTCTTATACTATATAGCATGTGGTTACACAGGACAAAAACCTGACCAACCTAACTTTGCAGCATGTTTGTATTTGAAGATGTTATTAGCTCAGATGGCTTAATCTAATATCAGTTGTCTAATTGGGGATGATTTGAGCTGCCTGCAAAGTTATTTCCTTCTATAACCGTGACCTTCCACAGTGGTTTGGTTGAGTGCAAAGAATGAAACAGGGAACTATGTGAATTCTGAGACCAGATGCTCAAAATTTGGGCCAAGATTGTGCAGACTCAGCCCCACAACAAGTAGGAAGTAATTTTCTTAACAAAGTGGTGAACTTAGTTGTTGTGAATTAAAATTCTCTTGCAAGTTCTCTGTGCCAGAAGTGAATTCACTAAGTCATCTAACACAACTAGGATCTGGGAAGGAGAGAAGCCTCTCTTCTTTCCTCAGGAATGTGAAATGTGGCTGTGTAGAAAAGGAGTTTTGTAAACAGTGCTGCCCATTCATAGTGTGACTTAATATCCTTTGGAGTATACAGTGGGCTTCGGTTGACTTTATTAACATGATGTTTTCTTTGGTGCTTTGGTATTCATGTGATCATAAGGATGTATCACACAAATACAATTCACCTGCAGTAAACAAAGCTCTATTGCACTAGTCTGAAATGTCAAAATACTATGTTCTCTTTTCACAATGGGCGTAAGTACCACAAATTAGATTATGTTTCTCTGTTAAGGTTTTCAGAAGATGAATTTAGTGCATCATTGCTATGATTCAGAATTTCAACAAAACGCATTTTATGTGTGATTTACCTGACCCATTTTGGATATCTGCTCTAGAGTGAGACAAACTGCACCCTACAGCTATCTATTTCAGTCATGGCTGTAAAGAGAATTGCACCAGTAGCTTGAATACTGTGCAGTGCTGAGCCCTGCTGTTGTGCTTGCAGTTACTACCACAGGAATTTGCGTAATGTGGCAGGAATTACAGAAAACTTTCAGATCTCATTTAAAAGTCACAGTTGCATTAAGTTCTCTAGCTGATTTAAATCAGCAGTAAATTGGTAACATTAGTTATAGTCAATTCTTTAAGTTGATTTTAAAAGCAAAAACACTTGTGCACTTAACATGTAAACACTTCTCTTATTTTTATTGTCTAGATCACACAAGAAATTTCTGATAATACAAGGATATTCAGGCTTCTGGGATCTGACAGGTATGAATAGAAGAGAACGTGGCATGCTAAAACAGAAGAATAATGTGTTCCTTCTACCTTGTAAAAATTCTATTTGATTGTTCCTTGTGATTCCTTTTTTAGCCATTTTACTCAATCCTTTGTGTACCTGTCTACCTTTCTGCCCTTCAAGTTCTCTTTCTTCAAAAAAAACCCCACAACTTTTATGGGCTTCCAGTACTCAAGCGCCTATTTGGCTGCAGTCACAATCTCCAGGAGAGTCTTCCTTTTCATGCTACAATTCTTCTGTTTAACTTAGTGAAATCTTTACTTTCAGGTGCTCTGCTGCCAGTAGGTCACTCAAATGCAAAAAATACTTAAAAATTTAAATCTCTCGCTTTCACCCCCAGAAAGGAACTCTACCAGTTGTCCTCCCAACATGACAGCTCAGGTCTTGTAAGAGCTCTTGATAATTCCCAGCTTAGCTGTTCTTTGGGGTCTGCTTTGTAGGACACCAACACTGTGTCTGTCTGACCCATCAGGTACCAGCTTGCCAAGTCAGTAACTGCTATTTTAGGAATGTCACTGACTTCAACTTTCTCTGCCCTGCTGTCGGACTTTGTACTTCTGTAACAGCCACAGAAACAGCAGATGTTTTGTCTTCTGGGGTATGCATGCTGACATGAAGGTTTCACCAGTAACGTATTTATATGAAGTGCAAAGATAGGCGTTAATTTTCCTTTTGAGAATTGCCTCTGTCTTATGCCACTTGCAGTAAACTCACTCTCTTGTGGCATCTTAGAACTACCAAAAAAGCTTCACATCAACCAAAGGCTTTCCCCATATTCTGCTTCTTCAAGCTTGATGCACAGCCCTGGAATTACCCATAACATAAACAGCAGTCAATGGTGCTGTGACTTTATTGGCTAGCTCCAGCAATTTTTACTGGCTGGGGGTTGAGGATTATGCCTTATGTGCAATACCTGTAGCTTTCT